TATGTGCCACAATCAACACATAATCTTCACATGTGGCCGCTCGCGTGGTAAACGTTGCTGTCTTGCAAAAAACAATTGTGACACTAAAACGACGTGACGAAAGTTTGCTGTCAGCGCGCACTTTGTCGAAAGCCCTTGATCAAGTATATTGCCAACCGTCAGAACGTGGACTTTTTTCGGCAACTATAGTCCAAATGATTCAACTTGCTCTATTAGAAGCAACCAGGAACACAGCTTATACCCCGTTTGAATATAAAAATCTACTATGAAAATGCGGGCATTACAGCCTGAGCAGTGCGTGTACAAGCACTAATCTAACTTTAGAAGCTCTCAAGAGTGTAAAATGTAGCGCTTTTCGAGTCTCCATCAGCGCGCGCGATATGCGTACGTACTTAATATTTGGTATAACGTCACACTCCAGCCTTTAAATAATTTTTTTAATATTTTTTCCACGCCACTAGTTGGTCCGCACAAATCACCAAATTAATATTGCTACATTGCATAAACTCTGAGAGAGCTATACATAAAATTAAAATAATTGATGGGATGCAGTCATTTCAGGCGTCCCTGTAATTTTGATCAAATAATGATGAAACTCTTCAGCTTTGGCATTGCTCTTGTCATGCTCTAAGCATAGGACATTTGTGACAGTCATGCTTCGTGTTTGCCAAACTGAATGGTTACAAAGGCTGAAGCTATTTTTTGTGTGTGTGTGTGTTTTCAAGTCTTACGGTCAAATTCAAAAATCGCAATGCCCTAAAATTATACACCTGATAAAAACCACATTGTCCCTCTTTTTACTTCTAGAGGTATTCGATTCCTCCAGGTGAAATTCCGGAAACCCACGTATGTTACATCATCACGTTTTTGTGCAAGCCTGTAAAGCGCGAAACACGTAAATGTAAAAACATAAAACACCACGTTGAAGTATCTGTAATTGACCTTAGAGATCTCTGGGGTGATAAATGCGCACCGCCAATCTCAATTTTTAGAAGCCTTGGTTTTATTGTCTTGCATATACCTCGCCTTTAGCTCAGGACAATTTTTTTTTATTTTGACCAGATTAGCAGGATACGCAAGCACATAGCGTAGGCAACCGCTTCCTTTGCAAGAGAGCTAGTGCAGCCGGGCCGCGTTCCATAGAAAGCTCGCGCATCGAGAAACAAGTGAACAGTCAGGGAAAGTCTACTTCAGGAGAAAGAAAGATACTACACTGTATCAAAGCGCCACCACACACAATTTATTGCGTTCATGCGCCGGTCTGGAGGGCGATCCCATCGCCATCTGTTGGTTCAGAATCATACAAACAGAGGGCGGGTTTCACCTTAATGATGCACGCACCACAAGTGTCTGATAAGGTATAGTGAAATAACGCTAGTGAATATTTTATATTTTCGCGTTAATAACGGGACAAGTGCGGATAGATGTGTATTTATTAAAGTGGGAGCTTTATACGGTCAACAAACCTCAGGAGCCGCTTAAGCACGAAATGTGTAGATCAATCCGGAACAGCTAAAAAAATCTTGAAACATATGGCAACCAGATGAAACCCCGGTCACCGGGGTTCCATCCGGTTGACCAGCAAGCAAGAACGGGAGGAGCGAATTAAGGTGGTATAAGAAAGCGCGGGGAGCGTAGAAGGGAGGAAAGGGCCAGAAAGAGTGAAGCAGAAACAGGTAGTGCGCCCGGAACGAAGCGGAGTGGAAATGGCAGGAAAGCCCGTTTTCCCTATCTTGGTGACCCAGAAAATTCGGCGCAAATGCTTTGCATCCGGGCGGTGCCGAAGCAAAGCGGGTGCAGCGTCACAAAGAGACGACGTTCCTAAATTAGCTCAGTTATGAAACCGCCCATAGACGCTGCTTGTACTTGCAGTACCCCCCCCCCCCCCCCCCCCCTATTCTCCTGCAATAGCTTGCCTCCAGTCGTTCGATGCCCAACCGTTAAGGGGTGACGGCTGTTATGGTAACTGCTCATATTATATGGGATACGTATATTTCAAAGCACATCATCTACGGGGCGTTTCACCGCACTCTATGAAACAGAGTTTTCAAACGAAAATCTAGATTGCCACTGATCCGACGGAAGGCGGATTGAAGGAAGTGAGGGCGGATGCCTCCCTTCGCGAAAGTTTAAACAACTGAGATAATCAAGTGTCGTTGCATAGATGCAATGGTGTCGTTGAAGGAGTAAGGGTCACCCTGCCCTAGGTGACCCTTACTTCTTCAAATACACTTCCCTAGGTCACCCTGCCCTAGGGTACTGAAGGAGTAAGAGTCACCTTGCCCTAGGGTGACCCTTACTCCTTCAAATACGCTGCCCTAGGTCACCCTGCCCTAGGGCACTGAAGGTGTAAGGGTCACCCTGCCCTAGGGTGACCCTTAAGGCCTGTTCACACTCTTGCAACCGAGTACGACCGAAAGAGACGAGACCTGTTGAAACCACTTAAACTTTCTTCGGTCGAGAGAACAAGCTGGCACTCTGGCGCCATCTATGCGGTGACCCTGGAACTGCATTTCACAAGAGCGAAGGTTTTGAGGGATTACCGAGATCAAATGTGCGTAATACATATAAAAAGGCTCGTTGTTATAACGTTGAGGAAAGTTTTTCGAGTCAAGAAAGAAAGGATAATGCGCGAGGGAAATAGAAAGTATGCTGGACCGCCAAGTTTACACTGCTACCTAATAGATGGCGCCAGTGTGTCCTCTCGTTGTAAGAGACATTAAGAGGTTCCAAGGCACACGGTTCTGAGAGGTCGCAACTGTGTGAACGGCCCTTTACTCCTTCAAAGATACTGCCCTAGGGCCCTGAAGGAGTAAGGGTCACCTTGCCCTAGGCATCCTCGGAACTAAGAGCACCCCCCACCCTATAAAGGCCGCAATAAAACCGTTTGGCAGAATGACCAAGCATGCAGCCAATAGTTCACTTTTCTCTTTGGTTCATAAACTGACAAACATTATGTCTTATCTTGAACGGATAAACTTTAATATTGTTACTTTTTTAGAGCGCAGCGCCTAGGCGCCCGTTTCCGGCTTGAGCGGCGTCGGCGTCGGCGTAACCAAGGTCACCCCAATGTCACGTGGCCCCCGAAGGTCACACCACCCCCAAGATCACCCCAAGGTCACGTGACCCCCCGAGGTCACGTGACCCCTTCCAAGGTCACCATAAGGTCACGTGATCCCCCAAGGTGACCCCCACGTGACCCCCAAGGTCACATGACCCCCGAAGGTCACCCCAAGGTCACGTGACCCCCGAGGTCACGTAGCCCCCTCCCCGAGGCCACGTGACCCCCCTCTCCCCTCACCCCGAGGTCAGGTGACCCCCCGGAGCATATTAAAGAATGATAGGAGGAGGAGGAGAAGGAGGAGGAGGAGGTGTCTACCCTCCCCTCAGTATACCTTCCCTCCTCCTCCTTAAGAGCTGAGCTCCCATTCGGCGTTACAGGGAGTTGTAAACGACTTTCACTTTTTGTAGCCCGTAATTTGAATGAAAAAGAATCCTTTTTGCTGCATGATTAATTTGCAGTGAATAAAAAAATGGACTTCCAAAACAACAACGTAAAATTCAATTGGGACCATATTTTTCTACCATTCTGTTGGAACAAATGTGACCGGCATAATTGTGACCCGGGTTGTTTTGTCAGGAATACTTTTGCTACGCTTGCTAGTTTTACTTGCTATGGACAAATTGATAGGTACTCGACGTGAGGTAAGAATTAGTTTATACAAAGTTAATGCATCTCGCAACCACCCTGGCTGCTCAAAGTGTAATTATTAAACATTTATCATAGTCTGATAACCATATTTGGTGTTGATAAAATAATATAATATAGTTGTACAACCCGTATTTCTTTCGCAGAAGGCAAAACAATGCACAGCGGATTCTTTTTGTGAGGTGCGAGCAAGTGTGTTTAATAACATTGCTTAACGGAATGGCCTAATTGAACCCATTTTTTTTTTTTTTTTCTTTTTTTTTGCCAAGGTAGCAGAGACTTGCGAAAAATTCGTATTCTGTTTTTGTGACGAATTTTACCTACAAGAGGGGGAGGGGGGGAGCGAGAACCGTAACGATGAAGCGCGTAAAACGTTGTTACAATGATGACTTTAAAAGTATTGGGAGCGTAATGTAGTCCACTAGGCATTTCATCAAGTTTATACAGTACAAAACAATCTTTTCATACTAACCTGGGTTGCTTCACTGCTTTGTGGTATCAAGCTAACTGTCCGAAACTAACAAAAATGGGTTACGTGTAAACAATTTCCTGATGCTGTAGACAGTCTTTTTCGTTTATTAGGTCTTACGTAAAGTTGAAGAATTGAGAGCTCTGTTTCTTGAGAGATAATAGAAACAGATAAGTGTGTTGGCGGGAGTCAGGAAGTAGGGGAAATAATAAACACTACAGACGAGTCATGACAAAGGTGTAAAAATGTTTCTTATCGGAATGGTCAACACACGCTACGAAACATGTCTTTATATCTTGAAGCTGCAAGCAACGTTCGGGGTCTTAAACTTATAGTGTTCGAGCAAAATCGACTGCAGTTTTATATACCTATCACACCGCACGTATCAAGTCCAATCAATGAGTTTTAAAAGAGGACAGGTTTTTTTTGTGACAAAAGTTGTAGGCAGTGAAACGGAGGTTATGTCACTGTTGCTTTAAAGTTATGTGACGTATCGCTACCCTGCGGAATTATGGAAGGACTAGCCCTGAAAACAACAATTTCCGTAATACACGGGTAAAACATTACAGCAATGTGGCCATAAAAAAAAATTATACTATAAAAATTATCCAAACTAGCGATTAGCGTAGAGTCAGCAGCTAATACACCCAAAAATTCTTCCATCGCACGAATACAATCCTATTTTTGTTGTCAAAGATCCACCTGCGATATTTTATAGAGAGGGCTGATTGCGAAGCATTGTGCTCAGCAAGAATATATACACGGCTATTCTCCACAGAAACCATCAGAAGAGGTGGGAACGCAGCGGACGCAATTGTGTCCATGGCTGCAGCTCTACACGTGATTCAGCCTGTGGCGTGTGGAGTTGGAGGAGATTGCTTCGGTGTTGTGTACGACGCCCGCACCGGTACTGTGCACTGCGTTGATGGCAGGTAAGGCACCGTAATAATACCCACCTACGTAGGGACGTCTCCCTTTCTGATTGAACTTTTGTATCGCGTTCACGGTTTCTATAGCCGTTCACAGCTTACAAAACGTAGGGCGTAGTGAGCCTCGTGCAATTAATTTTCAGAAAGCAGCCAACGAGATAGTGGCATTAGCCAATTAGAACGACGATGAACGATTCAAGAAGCTAGATGCTCCAACATGATAAGTCGCGCCTTGCACTTCTTAACCTGTCAGTGACAACAACTACCCCCCAAAAAAGTGAAGTGTTATGACGATAATGCAATTAATGCAAACACGCAAGCGAGCTGGACAGAAATATTGATAATATTCCCTGGAGAAAGGGAACAAGGAAGATAAAAGGCAAACTGAAATATCCAGACACTGCTAGGTGACTGGTTCGCGACTAAAAAAAGTCCGTTTGGTCCTGGAATCGAACCAGGGACTTTTCCGTTTGTAGAGAAGCGTTCTACCAACTGAGCCAACCCAGAGTCAGACATCAGTAAACCAAACGAGTTTTAACTGCAGCCACTAGTGTAACACCAACAAGGGTGAACAGCCTGCATTTTAAAATTATGATGATAATGCAATGAGTGCATAGGTGCAAACGAGCTGGACAAGAATAATGATAATACCTTGAGAAGGGGAAGAAGGTGGGCAAAGGACAAGAACAAGTATCTTAACACAGCTAGGAGACTGGTGCGCGGCTAAAAAAATCGGCTTGGTCCTGGTATCAAAGCACGGTCCCGTCCATCTCGAGTGGAGTGCTCTACCAACTCAGGAAACCAGGTGATTGCGTTTTGTGGTGAACCAATTAACGATGCGGTTGCATTAAACTATTTACTCAATTAAACCTTTGAAGGTTACACTAAATAGGGGAATTATATAAAGGTCGAGGTTAGAGAGTGGTGCTGCATCTCGCTCGGCGTCATCAGATGGAATGTCCGCCTCGCTTCTTCTTGTCTACGGGCGAGGGCGATGGACTCCGGAGCTCTTACGTCTGGCTTGCACGTGCGGCTCGGGGTTCATGGCAGGGAGGCCCCTCTCCGTCATGGAGACTCGGGTCTTCGCTGGGTATCGTATACAAACTTCTGTCTGGAGCAGCCGGGGTCAAGCCCACCTACAAGCTTTTGGCTGGTCTTCGGACTTCAATTGCCTTATCGCTAACACAGGAGTTAGACGTCCGTAGAGCAAACGGGTTTTAACCGCTGCCACACTATAACACTAAGAAGGTTGGTTGGCCTGCATTTTAAGATGGTGAAAATAACGCAGTTAATGTAAAGGTGCAAGCGAGCTGGACAAGAGTAACGAGAACCCACCAGTCACCTAGCTGTGTTCGGAGATTTGCGTATATCCTTTGTCCCCCTTGTTTCTCTTTACCAGAAATTATTGTCGCTATCCTTCTCCAACTCGCTTGCACCTTTTCAATAAGTATTATTATTATAACATTGCAATTCAGCCTCTTCCTCCTTACAGATGTTAGACTAGTGACAACTGTTAAAACCCGCATGCTCTACGGACGTTTGACTCCTGGTTGGCTCAGTTGGTAGGGCGCTCCACTGGAAATAGATGGGTCTCTGGTTCGATAGCAGGACCAGGCGGAGTATATCAGTCGCGCACCAGTTACCTAGCTGCCTTTGGAAATTTGTGATTGTCCTTTGTCCCACTTAAACTGTTATTTTTTAATGCGTCATTTAGATTGAACAACCGTATAGCTCTTGACCTCACTGCCATAATTGGCCGAACTTTGACCTCACGAGTTGTAATTTTGGCTACCTATTATCAGTGGCGAACGAAGTTCGATGTGTGTGTAAAAAGCACAATGGAAGCTTGGAGTCATCACATTTTAAAAATAACACTATGAAAGTTGAGAGTCTGACAATGTTCTTATTTCCGTCGATGAAAGCAAAGTTATTCAAAATAAAGATATATTGAGCGTTTGGCGAACCTTTGAATGTCTTCCAAAACTGCGGTTTCGGTGGCCCATGTCACCAATATCCCCTCCTGTTTCTCTTTAATGCGTTAGTATTAATGCTCTGGTACACGCGCTGACCTTGGACTGGTTTGGCGCACACGTATAGCAAGTTTGCAACATCACCACGGGATGGCGCCAAAGCCACTGGCTGTGGAAACTGGCTAGGATTCACCTTTTGCAAACGCCGACAAATGGTGGCGGGGTGCATATCTCGAGAGGCTTGGCGATAAGACGCATAGCAACGGAGGCCGTACTGGATGGGCTGATTATAGGAAGCGACGCCGTGACGTAACACCTAGCAACCGAAGATCGCAGGTGACAACTCCCTACGCGAATTTCGGCGCACGCAGTGGGGGACGGCGGGTGCATCACTGTGGCGGCAAACCCACAGAATAATATTTTTTTATTCTATAGATTCGGTTTCGGCAAATCCTTCCTATTTATTAGCCTGGAAACAGTTTTAAAGAACGAAACTGCAGCGACATCTAGCAAACATATACAAAAACATTTGACAAGACAAAAATAAGTTTGGCGCGCAAGTACGGTGCGATCTAGAGGGACGTTTCCTCACATTTCTGCGAAAAGAGTGTTTTTCTCTTGCCACTGATATTTCGCGATAGGTAACCATATTACTTGAGGCTATCGTATGTGAATAAATTATTAAACTTGCATAGTAATACGTAGAGGTTATGCAGGGAAGCCACTTGCGGACTTTTGTCGGGTGTTACTCACAGGGAACAAGTCTAAAACTTCCAAGTGTACCTGACAATATATTTTTTTTTTATTTTAATACTTTTCTTTCACTTTATCTTGTTGAACGTAAAAATCTAAAAAAGGTATGTTTTAAAATTTTTTTGTATATCCCGTCGTTTTTTGTATACTATCTCCTCACCCCCCCCCCCCCCCCTTTCCTGTTCACGACGCTTCGCGGCGGCCAGTCTGGGGATGCCTCCATACCAGATATTAACCTAAATTTGGCCACCCGTTCACCTTGCCTCACGACGCCCCGTGTTCCTTAAAGGGATACAGAACCGAAATTTAGATTTCGCAAAATAAGGCCGCAGGAGCGTTGAACGGGGCTCTGCGAACTCCAAAACATCACTCATACATCGATATCTCAAACGGATGGCCGTACTTTCGGAAAAGCAGTTCGCGATCAGGCGAGGTCTTTAACGTAATTGTCCTCCGGGAGAATTTGAGGACGAGGGGAAGCAGCCTCGCTTCTTTCCTCCTCGCTTCAGTTTACGAGCTCAACGGGACGTAGCGAGAAGAAGAGGCAATGGGAATTGCGACGTGCCTTGTATCGTCGGCCTTGTCGGCGGGGTTCAATCGCGCACTTATTTTCCAAAAATACGGCTATCCGTCAAAGATATCGCTGTATGACTGATGTTTTTGGGTGTTGCAGCGTCCCGCCTATCCGTCCAGCCTTGTTTCGTGAGCTCGAAATTTCGGTTCAGTATCGCTTTAAGCTGTCAGTAGTTTTCTTTTTTCTTTTTTTTCTTTTTTTTTACAAAAGCGACCCAAGACGATGGCAGAAAGTGAGACAAAGCACAAGCGCTTGTACTGTGTCTCTTACTTTCTGTCCTTTCCTTGTTGCGCATTTGTCAGAATGAACGATGTATCAACTAGCCGATGTCTCACTACTGATGTCACTGACTACAGACCTTTGCAAAAGTCGCCTTCTGCGGGCCGCCATCTTTGTCTCCTGGGCTGAAGAACGCCTTCTGAGCATGCGATGTTGCTCTGTTGTGCGGTATATCACACGGTGCGCATCCGTCTACAGCTCAGTGACTCAGCATTTTTCGCCGGGATGATAAGCGATGCAAAGGTCCATATTGAGGTACAAAATCTTGCGCGCCGACATGGAACCCTCTCTTAAAACAAATGATTGCATCTTGCCTGTCACTACTTAGGATGTCGAGCAATCTACTTCGTTATACTACGTTCAAGCTTAAATACAGACGCAGCCGACGCTACATGTAAACGGAACAATCAAGCAGCGTCGAAAGTGCGAGTCAATAGGCCTTTTTTCTTGGAATGATCGGTTCAGCGACGATGGAACACGTGAATCAACGTAACAGACGCCATGAAGGTTCGCTTTTGACGCTGTCTGATCACCACCGTCAGTTCGTAGCGTCAGCTGCGTATTTACTTGAGGTGAGTATAGCTTCTGCCCAGAAATCACATCCTTAAGCCTTCTTTCACCGCGAAGCGGCAGAAGCCCGGAAGCGCTGACGCTGCAACGTTTCCAGTCTGGACATAGCGGCGACTCAGTGAAGGCCGACTGCAGGGGTGTTCTCGCGACTGTTCCTGGAGTCGTAAAAGCCTGGTTCGAAACGCTCAACTTTTTCGGAAGCGGAAAGGTGAGCCGAGATTTCAACATTATCGCAAGAAAGATGCGGATATTTTAGTTTCAGAAAGAAAAGTTGCATGTAGTCGGCGTGGAAATTTTGAAATATATGTCAACTTGTGAGAGACCACAATGCAATGCATTAAGCCGAATCTTGTGATAAAATCATGAAGGAGGTGGCATATCAAATCATACAGAAACCTTCTTTCAGTTGAGTTTGCAACAAACCCTCGTGGTTCTACTCCTAGTGCAAAAATTTAGCAAAACCAAAAAAAAAAAAAAAAAAAGATAGAGAAAAAAAATGTATTAGAATTTAGCGCCACAGCATAGTAAAACATATTTCAATGTAAGTGAAGATGTTCAAATTTTATGTCTTTGTTGTACTAGAATAAAGAGTCAGATTGTGATCCCGAAGTCTCCCTTTCATGTAGACGGTCATTACAGAAATCCTGTGGGCTCGCTGTCGTTGATATTAATGATAATAAAAGAGTTTTTAATTCAAATAAAATTAAATGACGTGGCATAAAATATAAATACGTGTATTGCTCTGGTTATTCGGTATTATTTTGCGTGCAAACAGATTATAATTGTAGTGTAAGCCTTTTATGAATATGAGATCGCATAATAACTTCGATCTGTCATAATGCTTGTACCGGACCGGATCATGGACGAATCGGTGTATGTTCCCTTCTAATTTAAATATAATACGTTGAGGCGCACCTGCCAGCCTTTTAGTGGCACAGCATATGCGACTTTTATAGCCAGCAAAATGCTGCCAAAATATTGGGGGACGATCATACGGCGTGATGCGCTTAGACAGTGGCAGCTTTCTTGCTTATTTTCGTTTGCGCTCACGCCGCCGCTAGATTTTTCTGCGAAATTCACCGGGGAAACGGAACTGGTGCACAGGTCATGGGACATCAGTTTTCCCGTCAAATTTAGCGGGGTAACTGCATTGGTGCGTAGGTGACGTGACGTAAGAATTATTCCGCAAACTTTAGCGGCGAAACTAAATTGGTGGATAAATCATGTGACGTTCATTTTTCCACTAAATTTAGCGGGAAACTGAATTGGTGCACAGGTCACGTGACATCTATTTTCCCGCCAAATTTATCCTGGAAATTGAATTGATGCTTAGGTCAGCTGATATCAGTTTTTCTCGCGAAATTGAACGGGGAATCGGAATTTGTTTACGCTCCCGCCGTAGCGAAACCGGGGGGACGGTCCCGTAACAGCTGCCTTTGTAATATATCATGTTGCATTTATTTACTCTTAAAATGGTAGGACTGTGAGCATCTCTGACGGCAATATTTTTTTCAGTGTGCTTACACAGTAAATACCAGAATTGGAGATCTTTTTTTTTGTCTATGTTTTTTTATTACAGTTTACGTACTTGTCTAGGCCAGATCTGGTGTCAGCATATGTTCAATGTAAATGTCGCTTCGTTTTTACAATAATTTAAGTAACGCAGGTGTTGGCTGAAGATTGCTGAAATTGTTCTAGCGGAAGCTAACCCTAAAGGCCTACTGAAAAGAAAAAAAAAATGTTTTTGAACAGTCTGGTTGGGACAAGCCTAAAAAAAAAAAAAAAATTCGCAAGATGAAAAAATTATACGAATGGCGCTAGACGCGATTTAGTCGGTGGTCACCTCCTTTCCACTTGTATTCTCTCACGGCATTTCGGGCGCGTGAAAGAGGTGGATCAGCTTGGCCACCACGTTGATGTGGAAAGAGCGAATTACCATTTCGCTGAGCGAATGACCATTCCGTGACATCATGAACTTTGGACCAAGAATTTAAAATAAATCTTTTGCCGTTAATATTGCTCTAAACATTTTTTTCGCGTAAACGTATTTTTTGACACGCTTGTACCAACCAGACTGTGCAACAACAGAACCATTTTTTTTCCTTTTCAGTGGCCCTTTAGCAAACTACTCGAAGTGCCCTACCTATATAGATGGCTCTAAAAGCCGGGAACAGATTTTGTCCTTTCAATAGGCTCTTTTATTATGCTTCTATAAAATCTAGTGCCGTAGCCTTTCATAAAGAGTTCCGGTTGCACTCGGCATCAAGCCTATCTAGAGTGCGGGAGCGGAGCGCTCCGGACTGCCCGCGCGACATCTGCCGGCGGACGCTGGGGCCGAGATAGCGCCCCTCTGGGCAGGCTCCGCCATTGTGCAGCGCTGGGCAGATGACAAAGTTTGTGCTGGCCCGTCCGCACTTCTGCAGGCTCCGCCGACAGCTGGACGAGCGCTGGGCGCCTGTAGGCTGCGAAATCAAGGCGCTCGATGTGGCGGCCCACGCGCCGCCGGCTCCGCATCATCGCGCGTTGAAAAGAGTTTAGCCGCTACACTAGCGCACTTGCTTCCGCCGAGGATGGTAAGCCTGAAAGCGGTTCAAGGAGGCTCTATCCGCTGCTGAGTCTACGTGCCGCATCACATGCTTCAGCATGAACACTTGAAATGATTTTCTCACGATATTGTTTGTTTTAGTTGTTCATCGGGCTCTCTTAATTATTGCACTCAATGGAAGCCAACTGCATTAAAATATTTGTATAAAGACCCATGCGTCTTGTTACATGCTACAGATTGGAAGCATCGTTCAGCCATCAAATACTTAAATTGGTGGCATTCATTACGAGTTTGCTGCTTCTTGCACAAGCAGTGGGAAGCTTTGAGGGACGGAATAATTTTACCGTTTGACCCACGTTCATAACCGCGGAATCACGAATCGCGGTTGTGTTATCGTTGTGAAAGTGATATCTCGAAAGTGCAGAGATAGCAAGCACTTGTATTCATAGCGGTGAGGACGCATTAGACGCAAACAAGAATATGTGCAGCTTCCCGCGCACACCATGAGTGGTTTAGCGCGAGAACGAAAGCAAGCGCTCGAGTTCAGCGGCTCCATTCCGCTCAGAAGAACGCCCGATAATGCGGAGCCGGCGGCCCGTGTGCCGCCGCACCGAGCGCCTTGATTTCTCAGCCTACAGGCGCCGAGCGCTCCTCTGGTGGCCGGTGGAGCCTAAAGAAGGGTCAGCACAACGTTGATATCCGCCCAGGGTGATCGTTGCCCGAGTGAGCTAGCGCACACCAGCTCGGAGCACGTGGAGCGAAAGCTCGCGCTGCAGAACCCAGGGATCCTGGGTTCAATCCCCACCCCTGCCCGTTTCGAGCGGGATGAGCATCGTACCGGCGTGCGGTCGTGTATCGCTACTGCGTGGAGTATGTTAAAGACCCCGGGCTCAATTGCTCATCTACAGCTAAGAGTAAAGTCACATGTTAAGGCAGACTAAGTTCAGGCTGAACAAACATACTCACAACGCCCCCCCGCCCCCCCCAAAAAAAAGAAAAAACACGAAAAAACAACAAAATAAAAACTTATTTGCCAAGCGCAGCACAATGGCGCCGCATGCTCAGAGGCTCAAATGGACTCTCTCCGGCCCAGCGTCCGTCGGCAGATGTCGCACGCGCGGTCCGGAGCGCACCGCTCCCGCGCTTTAGACAGCTTTCATCCCGAGTGTACGTGCAGACCTCGGACGTGTCACCGACACAACTCACTCAGTCATCTGGAAGGTTGTGGCACCCGCTGATTATACAAGGATCCTGATGTTTTGTTGAAATAGATTGTTTCGGAGAGCGCTGAATGTTATCGCTCAGCCTTAGGGTAATCATGTTTTTTTTTTTTTTTTTTCTTGTAGTTAACAATGGCGGAACTGATGGAACCTGCAATCCGATATGCCGAAGAGGGATTTCCAGTGGGGTGGTCGAGTGCCGCCTGGTGGGGTGGGGCTAGGCGGAGGCTCGCACAGATGCACGAAGGAAGCGCGTTCTTAAACGAGGGCGGGAGAACTCCCAAACCAGGAGATGTCTTCCGCAACGTTCCACTAGCGAGACTACTTAAGGTTGGTGGCTCCGATGCCTATGTTACAGTCTGTGTCAAGATTCATAGGTTATAATCTGTGTCAAGAAAGAAATACACATAAAATTGCATGCTGGAATGATAACTATATGTCGAAAAACACTGTTTTAGTCTTCTAAGATGAGTATAATACAGTATCAGTGGCTGGAGAGTGAAGCATCTGCCTACGCATTCACCGTTAGCGGGGTTGGAATCCCAGCCCATGTGCCGACAATATGCGCATGGCTTGTTGCGGAGAAAGTGCCAACTAGGTGATCTTTTGGTTATCCGTCAAAAGATCCCCAAGGAGTTTAATTAAATGAATCCTCAGTCCTCCGCTAGGGATCCGGATTCCTTGCTTTAATTTGGCAAGCATACCCCCCACATTTTTTTTTTCTTTTTGCTAAGTGTAGCTCTTGACAAACAATTGCTATTTTAAATGACTCATCTGTCTTCACTAGTGATGATAAAAATATAGTGGTAGTCTACGCTGGTTGAAATAATTTTAAAATTAGCCTGTTGAATGCCTCATAGCTGCAGCCATATCAGGGTCCTTTAGCAAAGGTCGGTAGCAATTCTGAGGCTACAACCTGTTTGTTTTCTCAACTAGTAATGATTAAGTTTGACTATAACCACTATAACCGCTTTCTCAATTAAGGCACTTTCCAGGCATGCAAATATGTTTGTAAAAAAATATGTCTGTTGCTCTGGAAAAAAAACTGACTTTTTCAGAGAGTAGGAAATGAAGGGCCGGAAGTGTTCTATTCTGGTGACATTGCCGAAAGCATGGTTGAAGCTGTCTCGGCGGCGGGAGGCGTCATGACCTTGGACGACCTTCAGATGCATATGAACTCCGCTGAGCCAGTTATTGTGCCAACCATTTCAACGACGTACCGCGGCAGAACAGTTCACACACCACCCTTACCAAGCCAAGGCGCCATACTTCTGGAAGGACTTAACATAATGGAGGGATTCGACGTTCAATGTATGCGTTCTGATTACAATTTATTATCTTGTATTTGGACATACCACGTCTTCATCCAGTGGCAAGATATATTGGGAGCACGCAAAGTCCTTAAATATCATGAAACATTAAATTGTTGGAAGAACGAGAGCGACGACAAAATAATTAGGTAAAGACAAAATAATATTGTGCCATCTTACATGATTCTGGAATTTAAAATCCCATTTATTACGTATAACAGAAACACAGTATAGCTGTTTATTATTAAACAATCCTACATTCGTCTAATTTAGTGACGTCATATTAATTGCCGACATTCAACAGTGAGCTGCATGGTGATAGCGGTCTTTAAGAAGGGTAAAAATGCGATCGATGTCAAGATCCAGAATATTCTAGTAGATGTAATTTCATTTAGCATACATACTATGTTAGTATGAGTAAATGTAAATGAATAAATTGCAGTGTGATTAATATTAAAAGAAAATGTAATCGTTGAACAATTTTTCATCATCCACTAGAGTATGATATCGGCCTTTATTCTTATCAATAAAATGTAAATTCATATGGTTTTCCTTGAAATTAGATAAAAGCAGCTGCCTCGCAAAAATATTTGTTTAGAATTGTGAAGATTAGTTAGTCAAGGTAATCTTAAAAAGGTCATTCTTGCAGCCTATTAATGGAGTCATCTCGATTTTGAAAAACTTTTAGTGTCCCTACATATGTGCCTATTTACGTGTGTTTTCCTTTAATCTTAGCATTATGTTTTCTCTGTCCTCTTTACCTATCTCTCCTACTTGATTTATAACGTCCAAGTTTCATACACTTAGCATTGCCAATGTGCTGTCCAATAATGAACTCAAAATAATATTCGTTTGTAGCATGCAGTAGTGGATCACAGGACGCGTGCAAAAACGATGTTCATTGAAACACTCGTTAAAGTACCATATAGTGACCGACACCTCGAGAAAAGGAGACCATGCCGAGCTTTGAGCATGTTATCATCGTTCAGGAACCAATAAAATTGCGGCATCTGCCGATACGAACGCTGAAGAACGAATCAGGAAGTAAGAAGCCTTAACATATAGTAAGACACTTGCTGGGTTTCTTGATCTCTGAGTGTCAATAGTATGGTGGATGGACGCTAAGGGTCGTACTCTTTATGATGGGTGGTAGCTTGCGCCACCTAGCCTAAATTAGGTTCTTTCATCAATCTAGGTGGCAAGCACAACAACCGGTACACATTGATCGTCCTTTAGTCGGTTTATCCAATGAGAAGGACTATCGTTATCACACTCCAATGAATATGTGCAGTCTTTGTGACAAAAGATGGGGGAGGGTAGTATCTTGTCAATGTGACTGTGATTCTCCACTGTCACCTATGAGGAGAGCAAGACTTCTGCTCCTTGCCGGGGAGTTGTGATGACGTCAGAACGATGCCGAGTTCTGATTGGCTTTGATTAGAAGAATAGTGGGTAGACCTCAATGCTAGATACTTTGAGGTATAAGCACTATTTTGTTCAATCAGCAAATAAGAGATCGGCGTTCTATCATCATCGCAACCCCTGTGCAAGAAGCACACGTACTTGAACTCCGGATTGGTTGACCTGAATGAAGAAAACAAATGGTTGTTACTTGGAGTGCATAGCGGGGGCGGGGGCATATACGTGTAGGCAGGCACGTAGCCAGGGGGGGAGGGGGGGGGGGCTCATGGGCCCCCCCCCCCTCGCAATCTTCCATTTTGCTGGGACCTCCTCTCCCCCTCCCCCTAGTACAGCATTCTGTCATTAGCGCCCCCCCCCCCCCCCACCCGAAACAAGATCCTGACGGGCCTGCGTGTAGAGTTCCTAATATGATCTCGGAACAGAGAGCTTAATAAAGGCAGGACGTGGCATATCTCCTCGCTTCTTCCTTTGCATTTCGTTTTTTTGGCGTTCTGAGACTAATGTCGCAAGCTCGTCGCCTCTTTGAGCAATGATTTGATAATCGAGGCCCGCCATGCCTTCGTTTTTTTTTTTTTTTTTGTTTGCTTTAAGGTGTCATCAACTACATTTGAAAAACGTAAAGGATATAGAAGGGCTGCGCTTAGGTGCATGTGACGCTGTCCAAACAACTCCTTATTTTAGAATTCCCATTTACCTGGTCTTTCTGTCTTTCTCAACTTTGAAACGTTTTAACCGGTCTCGCGCTCTCCCTCTCACCAGTGTCGGTCATATAAACAATACCACGTGTAGCTGTTGAGCGCGACATTCGAATGCGTTGACCTGTGGTATATTTTGTTCAGCCTTCAAGTCAGATCCTGGACAGTATTACCACCTTTTGATTGAAGCTTTGAGGCTCGCTTTCGTAGATGGCCTTTCCGTCATTTCGGACCCCGGTTTTGCCTCTACTGATAAAATGATCAACAAGGAGTATGGCAGAAAGAAGAGATGTGCTATTGACGTGAACAAGTGAGTACGCTAAGCGATCGAATAAGTTTAATTAAAAAGTTCCAGCAAGCTGCGTTTTCTTAATTTGGCGCTGTGAGTACTTCACGTTTCCTGGGAACAGTCAGAAGGATTGAATGAACGCTAATTGCTCACTATACTTTGTTTCAGCATCGATCCGAGCGCGGCCGATGTTAAGAGCCGAAGGGCCAATCAAACAGCGAAAGAGGCACAACGTCATGGCGTGCTCTCTGCCTTTGATAGGACCAGCCGGTATTCGCCGTCTCTCTCTGCACTGCTCCTCCGCCGGCTACTCAAGCGCAGAGGGCATGCCATGAGGCTGCGCTTTTTGGGCTGTTCGATTGGCCCTTCGGCTCATAACATCGGCCGCGCTCGGACCGAAGCTGAAACGATGTATAGCTGTTCAAGAAACAAGTTCGCTCTCTCTTTGAGTTTGGTGTACTCCGTTTTATGGTTAAGCATGCAGGCACATAAACTTAAACTGGCATTAATTTACGGAATTCGTCTCCGCTGTCCCTAACCAGGACGCCCCGCAGAGTAAAGTGGGATAGCATTGTAAATATGACGTTTATTTAATACGGCAAACAAGTGTTCCAAAACCCGTCTTTGGCGCATCGAAACGCCAGGAGGGGTCTGCCAATCAAAGGGCGACATAGATAAAGCGTATGGAACGCACAATGACGAAGCAAGAAAGCGCGCCTTGTCATAGGTAGAGGTCAGGAAGAAACAAAGGCACGTGGACAGACTTTGCGGTAGCAAACACACGCGGTGCTCAACGAGCAAACGAACTTGCCCCTAGTATACTGCAGTGCTAATGCTTCAAACACGCGTTTTTTCTCATCAGAAGTTGGACGGCAATTCAGTACCCTTCTTGGCAGTGTGCTGAGAATGGATATTATTTTTAGAAAATTCCAAATATCCTCGATGTACCTTAGCGAGCCAGGAAGTTGCGATTCGTTATGTGTACATAGGAACCACCAATGTACCAAATTCAACATTGATCAAATACAGTGCATATTATCCGGCAGCATAGCGCATATTACAACTCGATTTTTGATTAACTTTGGAAATCTTATGTTATAGAGTTTTATTGAGCCATGACCTGCTTCTTATGAATAAACGATGAGATTCTTTGACACACAAAAAAACGTAAAATTGTACGATGACAGGGCTATGGTGTCGTGTGCGCCGGAAGGACTTCCAACTCTCAGGCAGAGAGGCACTGTTACCATGGCAACAGCCGACGCTCAGGGGAACGCGTGCTGCTTCATCAGTAGCCTTGGAACCCCTTGCGGTAGCACGATCGTCAGAAAGCACGGATTCGCAGTTCAGGTGAGTCATTCAATTGCTAAACTCTCTAGGGTAATTCTATTCCTGTTCAGCTTGACCAAATATACACCGAAAGTTTGTCAATTTTTATATTTTGAAATTATGAAAATTTAATATTAAATTAAACTGTAACTGGAAATAAAACATTTTTTTTAAACAGCCTAATTGGGACAAACATGTAACAAAACAAATCTTCCTCAAAAATATTTTTTTATCAATTTTTAAACCACAGGACGTAATTTAGTCGGAGTCACAATCTCTCCAAATTTGAAACTCCCACTCTTTCGAACCGCGCGGAGAAATACGACCCCCCCCCCCCCCCCCCCCCCTCGCTTCGTTTTGCTATTGGATTGACTTGGCTGCGGAGTTGAACGACGAAGGCAGCGTCTCGACTTCCGGTGCTTCTTATCGAAGATACTTCGCGGAGAACGGCTGCCAATAACAACACTACACGAAGACGGCGCACCGCTCCCGAGAATTCGGCGCGGTTAGACAAAAACCGCTGGCAATTGAACTCCAGCTGTTCTTCGTTAGGCCAAACAAAAGAGTGCGTCGCTGCTACCCTAACGTGCAAGACGCCGCATGCTTCGACGAATTGGCCACTGATTGGCTTGGGTGTTTCCAAATTGCATCGATTTGTCGAGACTGAAAGAAAAAAAGTTAGTTTACGTTGCTATTGGCTCTTGCGACATTGCATACAACCAGGTGCCGCTGCGGACACTACCAGCTAATTCCGACGGCCCGCGAGTGCGCCTGCTGCCTAGAAATTCCGGAGGTAGCCTCCAGGGCTAGTAGCCGCTGCATCACGGATCGCGCCGACTTCAAAGGTGGTATTCTAAACCCAGTCGTGCTCAAGATCGCTTACCGGATGAGGGCGATGGAGCTAAAAGACATGTAGCTGGTGTGAAACTTGTTTTATTGACAAAAATAAAATCGGCGGTTTCACTCAATGAGAGCAATCAGCTGAATCTTGTTTCTTGGCTATCATTTGGAAACTAAGACTGCTTCGACGATTATATTGATTATGCCAGTGAGAACTTTGCTCAAGGAAAGAATGTGGCGAGTTTATTTGAGACACGTGGTTTAAATATTTAGTTTTCAACTAAAATAAAATCGCATGCTTCACTCAACAGGAATTTCTCTTTCTCTTGAGGGTCAGCTTTTTTTGTAATACCCTGACTGTGCGAGGTGCTCATTTTGGGCACACAGGTACAAGGCCACTACCGTAACTTTAGAAGAAACTTGTTATACCAAGCAAAGGTGGAATAGGAATGAAAGGCGGAAATTTCATTTTGCACGTAACTCCCTAGTAAAAAATAAATTCGACGTCGCAGGCTACAAAGAATACAACTCGTTGTGGGAGGTTGACACTTTACAGGTAGGAAGGGACCAGTACACTACTGATTTGGATGCCGAGAAAACAAATCTGTCCGCTGACGCAGAATTCGGACGTCCGAAGACTTCTGTTGCTGTTACGTATTAACCTGGCTGTGCCAGGGTTTTTTATGCAACAGCTGTGTCTCAGTCACGGACGTTCGGTGCACCCTGTGCGAATCTCAAAAGCCTCCATAGCGAAATGACCAGAACATACCTGGACGCGTTCGTCGCTACCCGAACGCCCGATTGCCTCCAGCAAAATAGCAGTCAGCTTGTCATCTTTCGGGGCGACATGGCTGCTGGAAGACTCGCTGCCGCGATCACTCATATGGCATCACTTTAAAAAGCAACGGCGCCGCTTTACACGAGCTGACCTAAAAAAAAAAACAGCATTTCCACGCGCAAGCAAAAAAAGAAAGCAAACAAAAGCACACTAAGAAAGCAAAGAGGGAAACGAAAGTAGCAAACCGCACTATGAAAGCCAAAACCCCGCGTCGCTTCCTATCACTAACACCTGCGACAGCTCCTAAACACACACTATTTCACTTCAAGAAGTCTCGCTCAAGCACCTGGGTCAGCACGAAACACTGATCACTTCGTCGAAACGAGTGGTTGAGGTAGGGGAAAAAGCAGGAGCAGAAACTTTGGCGGCCATGAAAGAATGGCGAAGCTTTTGTTTGTTATGGTATGAATTCAAACAAAAGTGCCCGTTTTATAAACCTTTTGTAAAGAATTATAACTCTCACTACATGGGTTGTATTTTAAACGTAAAAATATGCCGCTCAAAAGGAAATTGCAACATATCACTAAGGATTAACAACCAAGATCTAAGGTGTCAATCAATATCTAGCCAATGAAAATAGATGTTATCACACGTCACTCCGTGACGTATAGCAGCCACTCCGTGACGTATAATGCCAACTTTGTGGCGCGCGATTTAAAACGGACGAAATAGCCGCAAACTAAAATCAGTCTCGCGCAATAAATATTGCTGCAAATATTTTTTTTTCTCGGAAAAATTGTTTTGTGACATGTTTGTCCCATTTAAGCTGTTTAAAAAAATATTTTTTTGCTATTATCTTTTAAATTTTGCGACAGTCCAGAATAGTCTGGATTGTCGCGAAACAGAAGTAGAGTGGGGTTTCCGTGTTATGTATGCAGTATATGTGGAGGGATAGTAGGGTACAGGAAATTAAATGGGATTTGGAAAGAAAGCTTTCGCCGTTGTTTTCGAAACTGTCAATAAAGGTTTTGACATTTTTACCTATTCTTATTTTTTTGCAAAATATTTGCTTCCGCAGTATGCTATACTATAACAGCCTTTATTCATAATTTTGATTTTGTTGAAGTATCACGAGTCAATTCTATTTCTGTTCAGAATGTGTCAGCTTGCGTGTATGGAAGAAAAATTTGTTTCAGGCCAGAGCGGAGGGATTCAACATGATTCCAGGCCATCCAAATTGTGCAGGGCCATATAAAAAACCATACCACACGTTAATGCCGGTCATCATGACTGACTCAGCATCCGGAAAACTGTTGGCCGTGATGGGTTCGCGCGCGGCAGGAGCTCAGGCCCAAACAATTCTTCAGGTGACTAAACCCATTTCTGCTATAATTTATTTGTAACTTTTTCTCTGCTCTCGGCGGCACTGCCTTCACCGCTTCACTGCCGGCTCGGTTAATCCAAGCAAAGCGCCGGCCAACGGATGTTCAGATGGCGGGTTGAAATCCCGGTCGTGGTGGCCTCAGTCTGACGGAGGCTCATTGCGTAGAAGGCGCCGTGTAACCGACTTTTGGGCTGCCCGTCAAACGATCCCCAGGTGGTTGAAATTCTTCATCAGTCCTCCACTGCCAAATGTCCTCGTTAATTTGGCACGTAAAAAAACAAAGAAAAACTTAGACTTTTTGTCACATTTCATCTAATGTTTCCCTAGTTGCCGGATGTTTGCAATTTTGCCGAAGTGACAACAAACCAAAAACAACTCAACTCCGTCTCGCACCTTTGGGATTCGGTGTGTAATCGTATGACAAATGGGTTTTTGTAATTAAAGAAACACTGGATTTAATATTCTCGATACAATTTTAGTTACAAGACGGACACTATTGGTGGTCGCGTACCACCATCGCACACACACTCTCGCTTTGAGTCCCGCGGTTAGACTGCCGCATAGTTTTCTTGAGCAGCTTGGTCTCGCCCAAGGCTGTAACCCGATCCGCACCCAAGGCAAAACACAATGCCGCTCGCTTAGAATACGCTTGGCTAAATAAAATAAAAAGGCCAGTACAGGATGGCGCTCGCTTACAGGTGCATTATATTTTTCAGCATCATGTGAAAAGTCTGCACGAAGTGACGAAAGTAATATATGCCTCAATTTTGACTCCTTAATATGGAGAAGAATCTGGTGGCTGCAACAAGGTTTGAAGAATAGATAGCTGGAGACGCGTAGAGCACCGAACAGATATTCATTATTACACATATTTATACCAGTCGAGGATTCTTCAAAAAGGAAGTGGAAACATGCCACGTATAAACAAATTTGTATTTGAACCGCACATGGGTTCAAGTGCATTACTTCATTTGGGAAAACAAGCGCTTCGTGCATTCTTGTTTTGGACCCAAAATCTTTTGTTTCACATTATTCCTGCATGAATAACAAAAAAATTTCAACTTTACTTTATACTTACTACTAAATAAAAGCAGAATATTTTTGTTGTAACAAAGATGACCGCCGCTGATATCTGTAAATCGGTCAACAGTCTAATCACCTTATTTCTGTTATTAACGATATTACTTAATACGGGCCTTTTGACTTCATCAGGTGCTGTTGGCTATGATCGATCTTGGTCTAAATCCCCAGGAAGCTGTTGACATGCCACGAATAAAGATTGGTGGAACCCGCAGCACACATCCAGAGTGAGTTTAGGCATTATACGGTTGCTTACTTATACTTATAGTTTTTAAGAAAGAGAGAGACGGAGAAAAAGAGATAGAGAGAGAGAGAGAGAAAGAGGGGTAGAGAGAGACAAAACCCTATTACATGAACCGTGATATCGCAAACGATGCATTTGTTTCATCGTAACATCTAAGTTTGAACTCTGAAGCAGGGGTACGGCTATGTGTTCCACAATAGGAAAGGCAAAACAAAAAGAAGTGTGGAAAAAGGGAAAAAGTACGCTTCCTTTATTATCTCACGCAGCATTTTCCGGCGCCGAATGGTCGCAATTCATATAGAGTTCGAACGAAAGATTAAAGACAAGCATGTTCGAGCGTAGCGTAAACAAAGAAGATTTCATCTTCGTTCGGACTTGGGTTTTCATAACGACCCTATGGTATATACCAGCTGACCTCCTGACTAAATTTTGTTTAAGAAAGATAATTCAGTGTGTTGCCATGCAGTGACCCAATTTTGATTGAAGAGGAGATGAGTACAGCAGCGATCAAGAGTCTGACAGAGAAGGGTCACACCATCGGAGAAACTCTCAAGCGTCTTGGAAGATCAAACACGGGCCAAGTGCACGTGATTGCGAAGGGAAACTGGTGGGATATCGGTGCCTCCCAAGGCCGGGTGGACAACTGTGACGTGCTGTGGACTGGAACTGACTACCGGTGCGACGGCAAAGCTATGACGTACTAGCTCGAAAAGAATCAATCAACACTAATGCAGTCATCAGTATAAAAATTCGTCACATCTTTGGCGGGAAGTTTTGCTCAAAAGGAAATCAAACAATGTTGCGTGTTTCAGTGATGCATCGGCATGACTTGGTCATTGCCCCGCTGAAACCGCCTGCTTTCTTTTGCTGCATGCAAGTTTACCAATTAAACGTCTTGATCTGGCTGGGGGACGGACAGGTGGCAGTCCATGTTCGGGCTCTAAAAAGAGGTTTAATGTTCACGGCTAGGTAAGAGAGTTTGATGGAGGATTTTGGTGGATTTCGCCACGCGTGTCTGCGAGTACCCCTTATATTATAGGCGCCGTGACGTGATTACATTTGTGTCACTGACGGGATTTTTGTGTTATTGGTGATGGCGGTTGGTGTCGATGAAGATGAGGTTTAACAGCTCCTATCACCGGTCAGGTCCGTAAGTTAGCGTCTTCGCAGCTTGTCTTGATGCAGCAAAATGAGGCTGACGAAGACCCGTTGACGATGGTGACTTTGGTAAATGCTCGAAAACTTTTGCACCGGGTATTTAGGTGGGTATCTTCCGAGCGACGGTATTTCAAACCGTCCCTCAAAGTTTGCTGTGCATCTAGCGCGGCCAGGTCGGGGTAAAAACGAATGAATCTATAGACCTTTTCAATAATCGCTTTCTGTGTGCAACCAACTTTGTCTCTTGGTCTGTGGAACACGTTCTGAAGGTGCGCCGCAGCTCTCTTTTATGAATGATGAACGTGTCCACATCGCAGTGAATCAGAAATTTCGGCTTTGGTGAATATTCTAATTTCGTTTCTCGCTCAATCGGGACGTAAATTTTGCGTCACATGACCCGACGTTACGTGAAACTACACAGAAATTTAGTTCACTCATATATTTCGCGGGTCGCTTGACATCCAGCTTTCCGCCAAATTTATCGGGGAAACTGAATTAGTGTATATGTGACTTGACGTCGGGTCACATGACATCAATGCTTCCATCAACTTTAGCGGGGAAAACGAATTAGTGTATAGGTCATGTGACGTCAAATTTTCCGGTAACTTTCGCAAGGAAACCGAGTTGGTCTGTAGGTCCCGTGTTATCATGTCACGTGCTTCACTTATACCCGAGCCATGGGTATCCACTTCTTGCGGACCCGCCATCATCAGGCTGCACGAGCCCGTGGACGTATCTCCAGCTGCCAAAAGCAACAAATCTCTGACGAGTGGCCAAAGCGCGGACTCTTATTTATAACCACCCTCTCATTTCTTGTTACACCCACATGTAGTTCTACTGAAATTTATGCAGCATAGTACACCTTTGAACTGAACAATGTTTTTATCTTAAAATATATTTGGGAGTTTAAATAAAAACTCAGTCTTCTAGGCTTTGCATGTTGAATAACAGCGAGTGAAGACAGTCATGCAAAATATTTTTGATATCAAACTAGCTGCAAGTGTATGGTTACGTATATGACACCAAACGAAAAACTGGTCTGCAGTCTCAAATATTCTGATATGAAAAGCCTTCGATGGCCTATCTAGTCATTTTATTCCAATTGTGAGTTTTCTTAATGGAGGGCTCCTGGAAGTATTATGCCAACACCTTGGAAAATGGATTTAAAATGGCATCTCCATGCCTTTTGAACATGAACACGGAGCAGGTTGGCACGAATGACATGAAACACAAAAGAACACAAACACACATAGGGACGGACGCACAGAGGCAGGACAGTTCTTTTATTCAGCAACCGACGTTTATGATGACTTCTCAACGGGTCAGCCCTTCTCTAACCCAACCCTCAAAAAAAAAAAAAAAAAAAAAAAAAAAACTTTAAAAGAAAATTTTATTTCAATTTTAATTTTAGTATTTTGTTTCTTTTTATTTTTATTTTTTTTTTTGTAACGGCCTTATCTTTACTGACATCGCTGGTTTTCTTCTTTTTTTTTAAGGGTTGGGTTAGAGAAAGGCTGACCCATTGAGGAAGCATCATAAACAGGGTTGCTGATTGCAAGAATTGTCCTGTCTGTGTGTCCGTCCCTATGTGTTTTATTCTTTCGTGTTTCAAGCCATGTCTTTTATATTATCATATTCAGTTCGTTTTATTTCCATAGAAAAAAGTTCTTAGCAAGGACCTTCATATTAAAATTATAATACGCAAAATAAAAAGAGCTTATGCTGAAGAATTTTTCTTCGGCTGATATTGAGCGGGTTGGATTCTATCCCACCAACATTATCCGGAAAAGTTGATTACTTGTAAAAGACAATCATTTTTTACCGTTTTATTTAGAATGGACACATGAATGAGCAATATATCCACAACCAATACTGTCAACATATGCCCCGCTTGTTCTGGGAAATCCACCGTATGTACGCTTCCTTGATATATGATTTGTACCAATGTCATCACTCCTTGTATTCTAACAAGAAACCTCTGTGCCCATAATACATCAGGAATTAACCTGAAGTTAATGGAACGTTGCAGGCGAGTTGATTGCGAACTAACAATTGTGAGAGAGACCTCAGCTGTGTTTGGAGATTCGTGTTGTCCTGTGCTTTTGTTTCCCCACTCTCCAGAATAAAAAAAAATATATCGATGAACTTGTACAGTTTCGTTTGAATGAAACGCAAACAACGGTATGACAGCCTCTCGCTCTCATCGCGTCACTCAACGGTCGCCAGCCGAAAAGCTCCGGCAGACTGTGATGCGCTTCGAGAGTATAGACGCACTTGGCCGCATCAGTAACCCAAGCCGCCGCCAGTCGGCGCGCTCTTCGAGCCGCCATTGCTGACTTCCAAATTTGATCGCGCCTGTTCCTCAGCCCATAAAATACGTCGTTTGCGGCCGGTAGCTTAAAATAGGTGACCACAATTGGGCCCGTCAATGGTGTCCAGCTGGCGAAACGTGCCCATTGGTAGATCGCAAAAGCTTCAATGGCGGCATTAAGGTCAGGAACCATGTAGTGTGCAATAAACAAGTCTTGCTAGCGCCAGGACTACTCATGTTTAGTCCCATTTTTAATGTGCTGATTTGCCCAATTGAAAAAAGAACGAAGAACGGCCTTGACAATGGCTCCTTTGATACTTCAATGGCTGTACGTTCACGGACAATATGAGCTGCAGGCTGCAGCATTCAATCTGGCCTTTTTCTATGTTTGCGGTCTCCGCTAGCTTTATAATTATCTCTCAATTTCTCAAAGAGGTAAAACAAATGAGACCTGGACATTGCGTTTCATCACTGGGACTATTGATTTTCAAAAATCCAGAAAACCATAAAGGACTGTTGCAGTTGATGTTGTTCGCAATAATCCCAACAAAGTCCCGCTACGTCGATGGCACAGAGGCGTTTATTAATCGCGAACGGGGTGAATTTCCACGGTTTTCGCTGTACGGCATCGGTTTGCTTGAATTTTACGAGCCCAAAAATTTTTTACTCAAGTAAATGCCACGCAGGTTTAGGACCTATTTGCGTTTATTTTAGCACGCTAATAGTTTTCAAGTTTTCTTAAACCGTGCGAGCAAGTGTGAACAACGGAATATTGTCGATTTGAAAACATAGTTGCATCGCGTAACACGCTGCTCCTCTGCCTTAGCAGGAACACTCAATGATCGCTCGCGCTCATATGATTCGCTCAGATTACAGCGATCTCGCCGTCACAAATCTTTGTGCCAACTTGCTTACTCTGCGACATGCTGAAACATTAATCTGAAGAATTTGCGCCAACTTTACACCTAAAGTTATTTTCAGTTTATGCCAAAAAAAAGTAGGTTGGGGATCGCTACACGGCCTGATCGCTAAGGTAAGACGCGAATTTTCAAAACTTCGAAAACTTATATTATCATATTATTCAGGGCCTATTCTTCCGTTGTCGCCTGAATCGCACACAAATTTTGATATATAAATTAAAAAAACTGCAGTAAATATCTTCAAAAGTGAGTTAAAAGTATTAACCAAAGTTAAGAAATATAACAAACTTAAAACCAGGTAACTTGAAAGTGCGTAGGAAAACAAAAGACGAAAATAAAGCTCCGATGGGGGCGGGCAAAGCGGAAAACGCACTGCACAGAGAAGCTGGAGGTCAGCTATCACGGAAGGGCCACCTTGCTACCAAGATGGTGGCGGCGTGGCGCTCATGCAAAGTTGCTTTAAAACGGGGCCCAGTGACCGGCACTTTGATTAAATTAATTTCGCATCTATTTGCTTCCCTTCCACCACTTTTGGTGGTAATCGTGAAATTGGCAATGCCGCACGCGCGTTTCAAATGCCAGTTGATGGCATATTGAAAAAAAAAAAAAGAACTTTAGAGAACATTACAGTGTTATGACGATTCGCACAGTAATGTGTGACTAATAAAAATTATGAAATATTCTCATTATCGTGCATTCGAAATGCCCGTGCCACATTGCCAGCACTGAAAGGCGCGGCAGTTGGCACTTAATGTTGCAGTAAAGATGGACGTACAGACAACATTTTGGATTTTGGGGGATGTTCCGTTAGAATAACACTTCATGCTATAAAAGAGGAGTGGTGTAGCACTACGTAAATCTTGCGGGTCAAAAAATCAACAATATGAAAGTGCAGCGATAACAGAAGGTTACGAAACCGCGTGACATACCTTTGAACAGGTCCTAACTTGGAAGTGATTTTTGAAGTTTTTTTGCAACCCCCGGCACACAACACTTGAACCGTTCCCTATTATTCTAACCTGATACACGGCTTTCTTTGGAACACCTGTTTATGTTTCGCCAAGAGGTTCTCTAAATATAAGTTATTGCGCCTCCCTCAGATTCCCTGTAAACACTCTTGTCGACGAGAAAAAACTCAACGCAAAGGATTGTCTCGTCTCCGTGTATGCAACTACCGTCTGCGTCGTAAGGTTACTGTCTCGATTTGCTTTGCCTGCGAGCTGTATAGCGTCTGCTAAAGTTGCCTCGTCATCTAGCATGACCTCTTTTTTTCATGCTTGATTAGATCTTGTCCTTTTAACCCGCGCCCGACTTCCATTTTTACTGCTTTGAATGAACACGACGGGATGCCGAGGCACAAAGAAAACAAGAAAAAAAATGAACAGACAAGCAATTAGGCAACCCGTAATGTGAAACCAACGTTACTAAAACACTCACTTGGAAACTCTCCCTTTAAACCCGGACCGCTCCTGTCCACCGAGACTAATCTAAATGTGATAGTAGCGCCACCCTTTATCGACTAGTGAAAACATTAAATTTAATTTATATTGCTACTGCGAAATGGCAATGCAAGATGGCGCGACTGGCCCTTGCGCGACTCGAACTGAAGTGATACATCCAGACGTGCAGCTCCCGGATCGTGGCTGCTGCGGGAGAAATGGCTGGCTACGTTGCGATCACCATTACTTCGGTGGTCGAGTACGGATCAAAGCCACTCTTTTAAAGCAAGCTCTATGCCAGTTTCCCGACTGAGTTTTTCTAGTAACGTTGGTTGAAACACAGAGTCAGCTGAGGTTTGACGTCTGAGCCGCTAATTCGTTATTTCGAAGCAGATGGACTGAATGAACGGTAAAGGCGCGAGCGGGCACCATAGAGTCCGCATAAGGGCTTCGTATTAAACCGAGAAACTCATCGAAGGAAAATGTCTTAACGTTTTGGATTCAAGGAGGCTGTATTAAGAGCATTTCTGCTGTTTCAGTAAGAGCGAAGAGTGTTTTTGTACGTCATTTCGGTGCAAATAGTAACACGTGCTAAACGCAAGACGCCTAATAAACAGCGACAAGGAACTAGATAAGACGAAGTGCACTCTCAAATGAAGGTGCGTGGTGTGGCACACAAACGGAACGGTTCTGGTTTGAGGAAAAGACGGTGAGGATGCTGTTGTTGAAAAGAACGTCGATGACCTGCGTAAGACTAGATTAACGTGCTACATTCTGCTTGCCATAGCGAAATGGGAAGTGCCAATATCATATCACAAATTCTCAAAACGGGTTCAGAAAAAAAAAAATAAAGAAAACGTTCAACAGACCTGTCAATGATAAACCAAAATTAATTTATTTCGCTAAATTTTCATAAAAAGAATGTATAGACGTACGCATATTTGTAGATTTTAATAAAGCGTTTGATTACATTAATCATGAATTGCTTCTTCGTAAACTTGATACGCATGGCATTATAGGTCATGCTACTCTCCTTATCAAATTCTACTAAAATAATCGGTATCCAGGGTAATTCTTTTAATGTGAAAACAATAAAATCTCGAGTACCACCGGGAAGCATGCAAGGGTTTGTACTCTTTAAAATATATATCAATGATATCACTAAGGTAGCAAAGCAGGTATAATTTGTTATTTTCGCGGATGATGGCCTCTTTTTTTTTTTTTTTTGTCTGGTAAATGCGACGATTGGCTCATAGACATAGACATTATAAGAAACTTAGAATATTGGGATATACTTCGCTTAGCCTTAGATCCAGACGCAACTGACGCAGCGAGCTGATTGAACCAATCAGACAGCTTCAAAAGCGTACGTATCATCATTGCATTCGTTATGTTTCTGAACCTATCATAAACAAAAAAAGTACAGGGACTTGCGCTTTTGACGCTGCTTGATTGGTCCTCGTAGCGTCGGCTGAGTCTGGACTCAAATAACCAGCTCGCCCGCACACTTGTTTAACCTCACTAAACCATAGCTATCCTTTTAGTCCCAAAATAAGAATATTATCTTTTATAACGTATAATTTTAGATTCCACCCTTGTCAAATTAGTCATCTCCTCTAAGGTGACTTAACGATGTTGTGCAGTTCGTAATCTTTGTAAAGATGATGTATGTCTGAAAACAGTAATGTTTAATTAGCATATTCAATTACACGTTCATAAGTATAAGATATTGATAAGGAGCATGGAAACATGACATCTCCCTCAAGCAAGTTTTATTTTAACGGAGAATGTGCTTTATGGCTAGTTTTTTATGTAAACGTCGTGGTGAGCTAGCGCCAGGAATGAGCATCACGAACGAGCGTCATGAAGGAGCGACACGGTAGGAGCGTTACGTAATCCAGTTTCCCTGCTAAACGTTATCGGGAAAATTGACGTCGTGACTTGACGTTGCGTGACCTCAGCACCGATTATGTTTTTCCGCAAAATCTAGCGGGGGAAATCTGTCACGTAACTTGATACCCAATAAAATAAATCAGGCTCACCGTATTATTTTGAATATTGATTAATTTATGAATTTACTTATTGATATTGCATTTTTATAAATTAAATTCAATTGATAATAAACCTCAGTTTAATAATTGAGAAAAGCACATCAGATCCCAAGCGCGTCCCTTTCCCTCCTCTTCCATCAAGCGGATGTCACTCCAACCGTAAACGCCTATGGTTACACTACAACCTGTGATCATGCACAGACTAGTCTAGACATGCAAGGTGAAACGACCTGGTGCGAAGATAAGTTTTCTATGCAGCACAACTACAGAAATTCAAAGTGGGATAGCCTTCCCCCAGACTCAAACCCCCTTCCCAGGGTCTCCGAAGAACAGGCGAAAATTATGATCACACGCATAAGGGCTGACGCCACCATCTCCACAGATCGAGTAGCCTCCTGCAGCAAAGGGCGAAGGTCCGGCATCTGCGCAAGATGTACCCTGAACAAGAAGGCCGCTTCCTACCCTCTTCTGCGGGATAGTAAATTGCATCAGGAAGTCAGGGAATCCCACCGACCACCAGAAACCAATATCCTGGACGACTGGGCGAGGCCGCCAGAACTTCCGAACGAAGAACACATGGTCCTGAAAATCTTCTAACACTTTGTCTATGAGGCGTAGCTGGACGTACGCATGTAAATAATACTGTTGCCGTCGTCAGTGCGTGCGTCTATCAAGAGCACCCAGACCTCTAGGTCAGCGGCGCCATCACCCTCCTCCCCCGCCCCTGTCTCTCTCACATATACACATTTACTGCTATACCCCCTGGGCAGTGTACCTAGGGCGCGCCACCGTCGGTTGATCGCCAGCGCCACCGTGGCCAAATGCCGTATTACTGAGAAGGCTTAAATCGGCGACACGGCCGGTATCACGTGAAAGATGCCACCCGTTATTTTATTTTGCGGATTCAAACCAATTCAAGATATCGGCAACTTTTATCGCGACCAGGCATTAGAAAAGGGGAAGAGGTTGTTCCAGAACAACCACGTGTATGGCGTGCGGGAAGAGAACGGCACGGACATCGCGGCCAAGTGCCATTCCCAGCAGGGAAAACACGTGTACGACGTAACACTCCAGGTGAGTGCAAGCAATGAGGAGTAGATATATTATCGAGATTTACATGGACAAAAGGGTGATTTATTAATGTTTTCCTTGCACAGCTAATCCAAGACTCGCGAAAGGTCGTCGCCGGGTCCTGCACTTGCCGGTACGGTGTCCTCGGCGAGTGCAAGCACAGCGCCGCTGTAGTGCACTACATCAACACGCACGAGGTCAGCGCTTGCACTAGCGTGCCCCAAGCGTGGGGCAAGCCTTCAAAGAGGCCGAAATTAAGCGACAAGGCGTCGATCGGGGACCTTTTTGGAGGTAGGAGTGCAGCCATATCGGTTCACGAGCATGCTGCAGCACCGTTATGTGGCGTTGACGTTCACGAGTCGCAAAAGCTAGTGTCAAGTCGTACACGTTATCGTGCAAGTTACTGCTGGGTTGGCGATTGGGCCGCGCCTAACGGAATACCAGACACCAGCGATACAATGTATCCACGGAGCACTGTTTTGAGCTTATGCACATGTTTAATTTTGGGTGCTGTTCAACAGAAAAAAAATAAAAGTATTGCACAGGATCCGAGTATCTAGCCTAGTCCCGCACGTCACGGAGAATTACAGCCTCCTTGTTAAGCATAACTATCAATATCATTGGTTTTACTTTTAGATTATACCTGTGAAGTGACTCCCGAGTTAGATATATGTAAAATTACAGTGCACAACAGACAAGGAGAGAAACGAAACATAGGTGTTGTGTGTCAAGTTTCTTGTGTGCTGCACTTTTCACTATGTCGTCTTAGCAACTAGCCCTACCTAGCACCCTTCTGCAAGCTAAACAGCTATAATGGTTTCCAAGCATGGGCAAGCAAACATCAACTATTACCCCAAATTGATTAATATCTTGCTGACGCAAACTGCAATTTTCCCCCAAACCCTGCATGCAATCTGGACGTATTAACCTTTTTTTTTTTTTTAATTATCTACAACCTTGTATTTATGAGTTGTTAATGGCGTGCAATGTTAATTTCACAGGCAACCGAAGCAACTTCGTAGGAAAACAAGAGCCACGAGAGGTGCTGCCACGCTACATCATTGACCATTTCCCAGACATTGACACCCCATTTACGGACATTCTGCGATTGACAGGACAGAATCAAGTAGAGCTGGAGTGTGCCCAGCTCTTAGAAGACGTTGTAAATGATGCGGTCACCATTGTGAGGAAGTCTGAAGTGGAAGTGGTGCTGCAACATCTAACGCATCAGGCTTCGGACGGAGAGGCACTGAAGTACCGTCAAGATCAACTCACAGACCCCGAGAAAGCATTCTTTCAAAAAAGAGTGGCTTCTCGTGATGTACTCGGAATCTGCATGGCAACGATGGCACAGTCCAAGTGTGCACAGTGAGATCTTTTACCTCCTCAGAGGTCAGGGTGCATGTTGGCACCTATCTGGGGTGCTTTCGAGAGGCCCAGCTTTGTAGTGAGGTTTCATGCGAAACTGTACTCTTGAAGTGGTGAAACCGCAGTATTGATAATGCAATTTCAAAAGGTCTGAAGGATCTGCTCTTTCCACTAGCAAATTATTGCCCAAAATCTGCACTGTCTGTTTGCTTTGGAGTTTTTTGTTTTTTTTCCTCGACTTTCTTGCCTTGGCCTGCATGTGCCTGGTGCTGAAGATTACTCTATTAACACTACTTTTCAGAAGAGCTGTTAACTCCGTTCCTCAGATTAAATTCATGTTCTCGATACCAACAGGTGGTACCAAGAGCGCAAGGTGCGGATTTCGAGCACAATGGCACATACCATCCTCCGGACCAGGAAGACTCCACAGGATCTTGTTGCGAGCTTGATGAACACCACAAGCTTTTCAAGCGACGCAACGACTTATGGTATTATTTAGGCTTTGAGTGTTCACAATATATGCTAATACCAATTTCAATTACACAGGCTTGCAGACTGAACCAAAAGCACGGCGACGGTTCGAAGAAAAGTTTGGAGCACATATCGTGGAGGTGCGTTATTCAAATACCCTAAATAAATTTTTAGTTGCGGTGAAACCGGTCCACAATTCAAAAGATGACAAGACTAATGTTTGACACACCCACACATTAGTGCATTGCATTGTTTTCTTATCATAGAAACCAGTATTGCCCTCCACATACACATTCTAAAACACACAAAGTTCTCACTGCATCTTCTCAGTTGCAGGCACTATGTTGCCAAGGCGAACATAGTGCTTGCAGCATTTTCAAAGCTACTTGCACGAGTGCATGGCATTGCTTGGCAACTCCTTTGCATGTGAGAATGAGACAAGGCAAAGTGAGGTGCTCGCACAACGGTGCGACCCTAAAGCAATGTGGAAACTAATTGCTTCGACAGTATCCCCCAGAAGAATTCACGCCGAGTGCAGTGGTTGAAGTGGACAGGTGTAGCCATGTTACGAAATGGTGTGCTAGGAGGTCTACTTTCCACAGCATTATTTCACTTTCATTTCAGGTGGGCCTGCTTGTGCATCAAGAGAGGTCTTGGCTTTGCGGCAGTGCTGACGGAGTGTTTCAGCAAGATGGAGAAACAGTCCTTCTGGAAATCAAGTGCCCCAGCTCGATAAAAGGGCAACCGGTCGTTGACGCCAATAAGAGGAAGACATTCACCAGCTGCCTGGTGTACATTAATGACAAGTTGTGCCTGAAACCATCGCACAACTACTACACACAAGTGCAAGTGTTGATGTTTGTGCTGGATTTACAATCTTGTTATTTTTATGTCTACACATGTGATGAGCATGATGCCACTGTGCTCGTTCCCAGGAATGACAAGTTTTTGAACAATGAGATCCCTTCTCTGGAATGGTTTTATTTCAGCTGGTACCTGCCAGCCCTTGCGCAAAAGTACCAGATCTAAGCACATCAGTAAGAGTGACAAAAAAGACAAAAAATAAAGTACTGCATTCAATTCACTGCAGACAGCATGGGTTGCAACAGTGTTCCATGCTTCTTTTGCATACTTGCCAGTTTTTTTAGGAATTGGTGGTTTAAAACGAGGCTGAAATGTGAAGCAGAGTGCACAAAATATAATCCTACAATCGAAATGTTTACTTCTGCACTGAGGTGTGTGATTTCATTTGCCGCTGCTTCGTTCTCAATGACAAACACAATGGTACTCATAAAACTTGCTCGGATTTCACACTTTCATTATACAATAGAACCCCAAGGACATGGAAAATACACTCAAAGCTATCAACCATCTTTACATCTAATAAAAAAGCTACAAACATCTTTTACAACAGGAGATGACCTACATACAGGAACGCTTAAAGGGAAGATAAAACACTTTTATGTTCGAAAAAAAAAAATGCTTGAATTGTGTTCATTTGGCTTTTAGAATAAGAGATATCACAATTATATTTCAATGCGATGCGCCCGAGAGCCATACGAGCAATTTCTAAATAGGGCTGAAGCCCCGCCTCCCTAGCCTTGGGCAGCCAAAAGATCCGTCGATGACGTCACATAGAGCGATTGTCTTTCGCCTTTTCCCCCCGTTTAACAATACTTGCGCAGCAAATGGTTTGGGTTTACGGGGTAAAAATACACTAGAAATCACTTCTAACTAATTTTTTTTTCAAGAAGCTCCATAACTTCCCTTTAAAGGGGCCCTGCAATAATATTTCAGCGTCTACCTTTTTTGCAGTTTCCACGTCTTTCGGGGTTCGGGCAAGCCAGCGGGCACGGAGAGAGTAACTAAATATCAGTGCATCATATTTTAACCGGACGACGCAGAAACCTCCCGCGGTACCGAAAGCGCGCGACATGCGACGTCTTAGGTCCTGGGCTTACTACTGGTCAGAGCCGCTAAAAGCTTCTTTTTAGTCGAAATACAAAATATAAGTGGCGCGAACCATTTCAATTATTTATAAAAGTAGTTTTTGTTCAGTATTTTAGAGCACGAAAGAAACAAATGCAGTTCATAAAGTACGGAAACAAGAAATGACCCGTCGACATAGTGGGATCGGGCGCCGACACGGAAAGGTCCCGGATGTACGCGGCGGCGCTGCAGTCGTTTACAGACTGGAGAATCCTACCGGCTCTGAGCGTTCCAAAGGCCTTCGGCGAGCAGCTGTGTTTTGCGGTTTGGTCGTTTCGCGGTATGCCAGCGCGGAGTGGCTCCCATTCTGAACTGATCTTTACCCTGTGTTTGCCGTTGTTTGTGGCCAATGAAGTGTCATGCCGAAATAGTGTTTAATCGCGCAGCAAATGCAAGGAGAGCCGCTCTGGTTGCCCGCTGCATACAGCCTATCCAGAACATGATTTAGTGGCGCCCCCTCGCGCCGGTGACACAAAGTGCAGCAGTCGTGAGCGCTCGCGATAAGCCCACTACCCCTCCTCTAGTTCACGGCCGCTCAAGCAACCAAGGACGTCACGAGGGAGGTTATTTTTTGCTTGTTTTTGTAATTCTAATTTGCCTATAACTTCTAAAATAAAGCGATAAAAGTTTCACTAAGTTACTACGTCCAGTGCGATCAGGTTCGGTGCAAACTAAAACCAGTAAAAAAGTCCTTGCAGGGCCCCTTCAAAACAGTCCTGGCAGAGAGCTCGTCTGCGAATAAAGAGCCTACCAACGAGCTTGAGTAAACTGACAGCGGTAAACCATAGGCCAAAAATGGCACCCCCCCCCCCCCCCCCCCGGTTGCCGCCATCCTGACCGTTTGCCACATTAGTGATCACGTGACTTTAAGATGACTGCGCCCATAGGTGCACCAGATCAGATTGGCCAGATTACAATAAGCAGGGCCGCAGTCCAAAATTTACTTGATCTCGCTCTAGGGTAAATGTTCTGTACCTTGGCGTTCGAAAACCTACCCGCGTCCAGTTGCTCTATCAGTCTTGTCACGTGACATGACCCACCGGAATAATGCGGATCCATTCAAGTAAGATTCGAACGCAGCCTCAGAGGTCCCCTCTGCTTACCGTGATCTGGCCAATTTGACCTGGCCCACCTCTGGGCGCAGCCATCTTAGTTTCACGTGATCACTAATGTGGCAATTGGGTAAGATGGCGGCAACCAGGGGGGGGGGGGGGGTGGTGCCATTTCCATTGTAGGCCCTGGGTTGCGGTTTACCGTTCTAAGTGATACTCAAGCTCGTTGGAGCCTACGCTGGTACCCAGGAAGAGTCGACCCCCATACGAGAAATTGGAGCCACATACCAAGCCTTGCCATTCGTCTGAATGGGCCTACACATACTGCCGCTTATTCCTGTGGCTTGATGATGGCAGGTTGCAAATTTGCCAGCACACAGCACATGTGGAAAACATCATCCATCAGGGGGATCAGAGTAATGGGCACCGTTGTCCTGAGGATATTGTATATCTTAATTCGCTGTATCATACGCTCCACGTGAACTCGGACCTGGGCAATGTCATAAGTGTCGCGCACTTCTTGCTCACTAAACTGTCCATTCCCCGATAAAAAAGGCGGCATCACGAGCACCGCATCGGTGTCTGCCAGACCTGCCCTGATGCCCGGAAAACCTTTGTCAGCCAGAATTACGTCTCCCGGCTGCACAATGTTTAAGAACCCAGAGTCCACCGTAACATGGATGTCGGAGCATCGGCCTCCGTATGCCTTCGAACGGAAACAAATAGCCCCATTAGGGGTTACAGCGACCAGAAACTTAAGAGTGTAGCCACTCTTGTAGCTCGAGTACAGCACGCGCTGCTGGCCAACACTACTTGGCTCCTCTGTTCTTACTTCGGTGCAATCAATGATCATTTTGCATTCAAGGTAGTTGACTTTAAAACACTCTGGCAACGTAGCTCGAATAATGCTAGAGGGAGGCCGGAAAATCCACCTCGCTGTCGCAGCAGTCAACGTTGTCAGCACAGCTCGGAAGTGGCGCGATGCTGTAGTTCTATCGACACTAAAAATCACACCAAGAGCAGTGTAGCTCAACCCAAGCTTCATTTTCATGAGAAAGAGGAGCAGCCGGTTCCCCAGCGTTACATCACAGCTCCGCTCGGTGACAAGGGGCAACATGCTCAAAAACAAAGCAAATACACTCATGCTTACATTGCAAATGCCTTGTAATGCATCCTCCGAATGTCGGATGCTCTCGTAACCTCCGAAGAAACTGGTCCTCTCGCTTGGACCTGAATACTTTGAAGACAACTCTGGCTGGTGCTGTGTCCCAAAGTCGCAGACCTCGCGATGTGTGATCTGTGTGCAACCAGCGCCGCCTTCGAGGGAGCACGTGAAGACTGTGAAGCCTCGACTGCAAGTACCGAGTTCATCGGTCTGGATCTCCTGAAAAAGCATTTCCCATCTTGAACATGCAGCGAGGCCAGCCATGAAACATGAATTTGTTGGAGTGCTGAAAGACCGCGGCTCTAAGGGAGTTAATTAAGGCACTGGATGCACTGCAGCGTGCCTCACAATCCCCAGTCTCATTTCTATCAGCCAAAGAATTAGCCTTTCCGTGATTGACAATGTGTAGCTGTAACTAGCATTGCAGATTTCCTGACCCCAACTGGCAACTGTACAGGTCAGTCAGCACAAATTTTTTCATTATCCGACTAGCTCGGCTTTTGATATGCATATCTATAGTGAATGACATGTCAACTGGTTTTCTGATACTTTCCAGATTTTCATTTTCAAATTATCACTTCCCAGCAAAGATTCAACAAAAACAACTGGTTTGGTTTTTGGTACGGTTATTGCAAAACTAAGAGATTGATTCCTGTACGGCTTTGTGGAGAGCTGGTTATCTTAGCTCGCGTCACCAGTTTAGCATTCTCCTGATTTATGTATTCCGGTTAGTGTCAAATACCTCACTCAAACCACAGTAAACTTATTTACTTCGTTAATATTGGCCAATTTTATTTCGAGTGATCCATTCGACGACGCAGAAAACAGTGACACTTCCTATGATCACAAAAATCATTCAAGCAAAAGCGAAATAAGTGTTGAAAGCACGAGCCAGTTTTTTTTTAAAAATGCACGGTGTTCTTTACTTTTTGATTGGCTTACAATCGAGGATATATTTTTATTATTTTTCTACCTTTTGGGATGGGCATAAAATCAATGCCGGCTTAGACTCAAGTAAATACGGTACCAAAATGTAATCAATTTCATAGTACTGCTTTAACTGTAACAGAAATCAAACGGCTAGTTTTTTGGCTTGAGTCTCTGCTTTTCAGCTTCTGATGCACCTTGCTGCAATCAAAAGATGGGTGGGAAAAGACATAATAACTACCAACTCACCACTGAACACTTCTCTCGAAGTTCTACAGCTTCACACAGCAGCTCCAACCCCCGTTGTGGGCCTCCACTGGAATCTGAATCATGCTCAGAAGGCACTGGGCTGGTACCACCTGTAGATGGTAGTCCTGAAGAACCTGCAGCTGAGGCACCTGAACATGCTGATCGCTCCTGCCACCTGCAAACAAGTATGCACAATCAAATACATATCTGCTAATCTTGCACTATACACTTCCTATCAGAATATCGAGAATCGCAGGTGTCATGTCATATGTTCAATGTCATAAGAGGACGAAATGAATGTCATGAACTCCCAGTTGGGGCGAAAAGGTTCCATTTCATTGCATGTGCCCGAGCCACACAAGGTACACACTGAGTGCGACATTGTCATCTTTGGTGTGTCACTAGAGCGATTTGAGAAGTGGTTTGCAGAGAAGTTGTTGCCAAACATCAAGGCCAGGACTGTGATAGTAATGGACAATGCTTCATGTCACTCATAGTAATGGACAATGCTTCATATCACTCTGTCAAACTTCGTGCCCCTCCAAGCAGCAACGAGAAATAGGAATGACAATGTGCTGCCGTCTCGTTCTGTATCTACTTTCTTTCGTCAGCTGAAGGACCTGCGACTTAAGAAATAGGAACAACAATGTGTTTGCTGTCGCACTCCGTGTCTACTCTCCCTCGTCTGCCGCAGGACCTGCGGCTCGAGAAACAGCCACGACGACGTGGTGCCGTCCCGTTCTGCGTCTACTCTGTCGTCTGCTGAAGGCCTGCGACTCAAGAAATAGGAACAACAATGTGCTGCCGTCCCGTTCTGTATCTACTTTCTTTCGTCAGCTGAAGGACCTGCAACTCAAGAAATAGGAACAACAATGTGCTGCCGTCGCACTCCGTGTCTACTCTCCCTCGTCTGCCGCAGGACCTGCGACTCAAGAAACAGCCACGACGACGTGCTGCCGTCCCGTTCTGTGTCTACTCTGTCGTCTGCTGAAGGGCCTGCGACTCAAGACATAGGAATGACAATGTGCTGCCGCCCCGTTCTGTGTCTACTCTCTGTCGTCTGCTGATGGACCTGCAACTCGAGAAATAGGAACGACAATGTGCTGCCGTCCTGTTCTGTATCTACTTTCCTTCGTCTGCTGATGGACCTGCGACTCGAGAAACAGCCACGACAATGTGCTACCGTCCCGTTCTGTGTCTACTCTATGTCGTCTGCTGAAGGACCTGCAACTCAAGAAATTGGAACGACAATGTGCTGCCATCGCAATCAGTGTCTACACTCCCTCATCTGCTGAAGGACCTGCGAGTCGAGAAAGAGAAACGACAATGTGCTGCCGTCGCACTCCATGTCTACTCTCCCTCATCTGCCGAAGGACCTGCGACTCGAGAAACAGACACGACGTGCTGCCGTCCCATTCTGTGTCATCTGCTGAAGGATGAAAAAACCGAGACGACGACATATTGCCGTCGTTTCTGTTTTTGAATGTCGTGGAAGTAAGACAACACCCGCACCTCTGTGCAGTGAATTCATGAATGTGACATTGACTGTTGTTTTGCCCACCATACTCACCAGATTTGGCACCGTAGAACCTTCATCTGTTTTCTGCACTAAAACAGCAGCCTTTTCACAGTGACCATACCATCGCACTCTTTATGTGAGTAGTGTGAGGACCAAGACAAATAGCAATTTTTTCTCTATGAATTGGATACATTGGAATATGACCGGTAAGTGCATAACGCTCAAGGAGAACTAAGAAGATTTCTTAAGTGCCATCGACCTCGGGCAACTCCTTCGCAGGTAACATTATTACCTCTCAAACAACCCTCGTAAATATAGCTTCCAACAGTATTAACAGTTGTTGAGCAAGTTTTGTCGCTGGGCATACGAGAGAATCAGACACACGACAATCTCTCAGGCAGAATCTCTCTCAAACAATCCCCCGTGCTTTTTTTTTTCTTTTTTTTACAGGGCGCACAGTCGCACGATCTGCTTAGCTTAGATAAGGAAGTAGAATTTAATATCACTACAGCCAGCGAGCACCCATAAAGATGCCGGCGGACACACAAGCCAGTGCACACATACCACCACACACATAGCGAGCAACAAACCAAAGGTGAATAAAGTCAATATTTACCTGCTGAACCTTCCAAGTTGAGCCTCAGGATCTACAAACTTCTTCCGGTACACTTCTGGGAACAGCGTTGGGTAGTAACCAGGGTGGTTCTCGATATTGCTGAGTTCGTTGTTCAGGAAATGAGTTGAGCATATCCTGGAGCTCTCGTTCGGACTCCAGTTTGAACCGTCATCGCTGAAGTAATGAATGCAAGAATTAGCTTCAAACCCAACTGATATCTAGGAGGCAGCAAGGTATGCAGACTATGCTCATTTAAACTGGTGCTTTGTGTGGTTTTCTAGTTTCCCCGTCCCTATTTAATATAACACCCGAGTCAAATTGGGAATTCAATCGGTAAGGTTGGAATCTCTACTAAACTATATTTTAAAAAGCACTTGGGTTCAGTACACGCAAGAAGGACGCGTAAAATACCTGGCTGAAAGCTGCTCGAACGAAGATTTCACTGACACGGGCCCGCAACGGTTCGCGAACATTAGAGAATGTGTGGTTCTCTGATCACATTACTGGAATTGAAACAGGTTCTGGCCTCGCGAAGCAGTTCACCAAGTGAGCTGATCTCCGCAAAATTTTCACGAAACGCAGTTCCAGGAAATGCTCCGCGAAACATTGGCACAACTGTCCTCAAAACGCAGTTCAAACAAAAATAGTCCGCCGAGAAGACGGCATGTCAACAGCATGAACCTGGCTCTAGGAAGTTCGTCGCATCGAACATAAATGATAAAAACGCCGCGCTTCGACCGTCCTCATTGAAATATCAAATCAAAAAGCACACCTAGCAATGCGTCTCGAGCTCTGCGATTAACACGGAGTACTTACTTTACACGCCTTACGGCATTTATCCATCGCTGGCGGCGTGCTTGTTCCCAGGGCCGCGACGGGAACCTGTGGAGCTTGACACCAGCTAGGCCTTCTCGGTTGTGACAGCCCTTCACGCAACAATACCGAACGCTCGATGCCCTTCGACGCTTGGTCTTCTGCGGAGGCATCCGGGATCGCACGCGACAACTGAAGGCGTATCGAAAGCCAGGGAAACCAGACAACTTTTAAATTAACGCCGAGGAAGCGAGTCTCGACCCACACGATCAGGCACAGCTGCCGAAAGAGCCTTCTCAGTGTTGGAAATATTTTGGACCAGGTGGCGCGACGTGTCACACCAAACTTGATTGCCCTGACGGTATTACAGTTTCTCTAGTAAATAATAAAAATAAATTGTGTATGGTTTGTGTTGGGCAGAATCCGTGCTTCCTGTTCTTTGTCAGCATAATAATGCTTGTGCATTTTATAAAAGTGTAAAAATGGTCCGCATGATAAAAACGAAGGCTCACTATTCAGTGTTACATTATTTAACTTCACATATACAGGGTGTTTTTTTTTTTAGCTGCACCAGATTTTCAAAAAAAAGGGAACGTGAGATAAAGTAATTTGAGCCCTGGGGAAGTGTTAGTGGTCATGGCGGCCTCTAGACAAAAGGTGAAATTAGGTAACTAGTTAGATAATTAACTAAAATGTTTTAATTAACTTTTTAATTTTTTCACTTGAGGGCACATAATGAATTTAGAGGATTGAAGATCGGACACAGTATGGCCTAGCCGTGTCGTTCAATTTGGATAAAAAAAATTCCGAGTAGGCGCTACGGGGTCGAGAAATGTCCCTTGGGTAAAGGGCGTCAAACCGAAACTAAACAGGAAAGAGTGCCGGTAAAGTTATCGTTCCGCCCTTCCGGGCATGGAATTCATCATTATCACGGCCGGCTCGCCTAAGCAATTGGAACCGGCCGTGATAATGACGAATCGCATGCCCGGAAGGGCGGAGCGATAACTCTACCGGCGCTCTTTCCTGTTTAGTTTCGGTTCGACTCCATTTAACAAAGTGACATTTCTCGACCCCGTAGCGCCTACTAGGAATTTTTTTTATACAAATTGGACGACACGGCTAGACCATACTGTGTCCGATCTTCAATCCTCTAAATTCATTATGTGCCCTCAAGTGAAAAAATTAAAAAGTTAATTAAAACATTTTAGTTAATTAGCTAACTAGTTACCTAATTTCACCTTTTTTCTAGAGGCCGCCATGGCCACTAACACTTCCCCAGGACTCAAATTACTTTGTCTCACGTTCCCTTTTTTTTGAAAATTTGGTGCAGCTAAAAAACAAAAAAAAAACACCCTGTATATTTTATGTAATAGCCTGTAATGACCATGTGAATTCTGCTGGTCATTTAAAAAACTAAATGATTTATGTGCCGTCAGAAATGCGTTTAATACATTTTAGCGAATTACGAAGAGTCGAAAATGAAAACGGTCAATCTACACTCTAAATGACGATGGCAAAAAAAATGGGAGCAATTTCTACGCGAACGTTTGCTCCAATACCGGCTTCCCTATGTCTAAATACTAGATGCTGAATCTCACTCGGAAACTAAACAAATCACATGAAGAGAGCTTCAGCTGCACTCACGGCGGATGAAGCCACGTATGGAGTGACCTAGAAGTAGCCCATCGCGCGAAGGCCGCAAATCACGCTCTTAAATGAGTGTTGGCCCAGGCTCATCCCCCCATCGCTATTAATCAGACAGCCCTCAAAGAAACCGCCTGAGTTACTGCGTTTGGGGCCGGAAGATTTAGATAGACTCGGAGTCGTCCCGCCGGCGCAAGCGTTTGCTCTGGCTTCCCTGAATTGGTTGGAACAGCAGCGTTGTCCGTATCAACCATGAGGCTTGCCGTTCTGCTGCTCGCTTTATCCGCCCTCGCTTTTGTCACCGGACAAAATAAGATAAGGACTATCCGTGAGTACAAATCTTTTATTTATGCTGTATATAATGTTGTGAAAACTTAGCTTAGTGGAGTAGATTTCATACCTGAAGGGCTCTCCGAACCTACTTCGTTCAAAAGAAATCTTTATATTTCATACATGCGAAACACGGGTGCAAAATTACGGCCAATTGAATTGTAAGCTTGCTTTAGGGGTCTTATATTCCTTGGTGTATCTGTGTGCCAAAGGACTGAGGTTGGTTTGAAATGTTCCGGTCGCTCCTACTGGGCGTACAGTTTAAGTTCATGCCTTTGTGTGTTCGGAACGAACTGATTTAGAATTGAGTCACCTTAAAAACAAAATGTTGTGTGTGTGTGTGTGTTTTTTTTTTTACGTTGTTATCGACCTTAAGAAAATAACGTGAGTTTAAGACGCTTGTCTGTGACATTTCTAGTTTTTTTTTTCTAATATATCTTCAAGTTTTCTTCCCAGTCTCAGGGTTTAAACATCATGATTACTACGCAGCAGCTCGCCTGCACGTCGACAATTTTGTTTCAAGTTATGTAAGTTTCTTTTCAGCCCGGAAGCGAGAACGTATCTTCCACCTCATGCGAGGTCAATCTGTACTGGAAGATTTGACATGGCACAAGTAGGTAAACATTTATGCGACCGATGAGGTAAAATACTGTGACAGCTGAGGCGTGACGTCGGATCTTCTTAGGTGACATTTCGAAGCAGTTGGACTAAATGAACGGTGAAGGTGCGAGCGCGCACCATAGAGTCCGCCTAGGCGTTTCGTATTAAACCGAGAAACACCCCGGACGAAACTTCCATAGCGTTTAGGAACCAATGAGGGTGTCTTAAGTAGAGATCATATTGTGAACCTGTTAAAAACTTTCATTGGACACAAACTAGGACTGCATTGTTGTAACTGAGGAACACTTCAAAAATCGCGCTCCGAAGTCTGAAGTCTGAAATCCAGGGAACGACGAAACTGCATGTGTATGCATGAACCCTTCTCTGTCATTGATGTGGCTGCCTGAACGTCTTATGCAATGTTATTGGACACGAACTAACACCGCCTTGTAATCACTGGAGAGCACTTAAAAAATCGCGCAGTCAAGTTTCAAGCTTGTAACTCCACCTAATTTCACGCTCGTGGTTTCGACGGCTTAACACCCACCTAGCTTTATTCGTTCAATCGCCCGAGAACCTTTCTCGCGTAATGAGCGCAAACGCGTTGTTTTTATTGCTGGCATTATTAGCTGTCTTGTGTTTATGTTTCTACGTCCGGTCATGGTGTCACGTTGCGAAGTAATGTCACGTGACGTCACAATATCACGTAAAGTTATGAAATCACTTTAACTCACGACGCTATCACCTGATGTCATTTAATGGCTTGGCGTCACGCTGCAACGTGACTTGACATGACAATGACACCTCATGGTGTCAGCTGACGGCAGGTAACAGGTATGACGTCAGAGTTGTGTCGAGCGACGTGACGTCACTGGCGTCACGTCTATGGGGAAGTTTTTGCCGGAGTGGCGAAAATTGCATGCGTCAAAGTGGAGCGCTGTCGACGGCGCGAAACCTGCGATGTGTCCCACTAACTGCAATGGCAATTAAATATATCAAGAGAGAGTATATGGGAAAATAGCTCGTTTTTTTAAGACACCTTCTTCTTCATAAAGCGGCACTCCTAAACAGCACAAAAAGACGGTTTAATAATACTTGCATTAAAATTCAAAGCAAAAAATTATTCAGTCTAATATATGCCCATAAAAAGTATTTAAGATTTACATAAATACCCGAAATGTAACAGCTTACCAAGCACTACGCGTAGTGTGCATAATTAGGAAACAGTTTAACTGCTGCTTAAAAGTTCAACCAGAGTAACCTGCTTAGATAGATATTGTCATCATTTTGATGAAAATCAACTCCGTCCCACTCTCAATCAAAACTTACCGAAGAATATAAATACACCATGCAAGGCCCAGTTGAAACGGGACAATTATCACTGCATTTCCAGGATTGCTGTTAATTAGTCTGCTGCTGCGACACATATTGAGGATATTGGTCAATATCTAAACATGCGAATCGATTGTCAAAACTCGAAAATGACTGAGCCGGCAGTTACCGATTCTGAACGCAATATTTTCGCATGGCTCCTGGTAGTGGTGATGAAGGTCACTGAGACGGAGATTGACTTTATTATTAAGGTTGTGATCGATCGTTCGCATTCGTTAATCGTTTCAGATGTGTCACTTAGTATTAACGAGGCTATATAAAAATGTACAAAAAAGTTTGACAGGGGAAGGTTTCGCTGACTACTTGAAGAAGATTGCAATTTGAGGAGGTTGAAGATAACAAAACGTCAAGCACCGCTCTTCATCGGCGGCTTCGGCGGCTCAACACTCCTGAAAAATACTACGAATAATGCCACTCTCGCTGATCTTTATATAAAACAAACGTGCCTTTAGATCTAAGCTCCAGAACCCCGAAGTTCGAAAAAAAAACTTTTTTTCTCTAAACGTGCCACATTTAGAAGGACGTGAGAGGAATGCGAATGAATGGTATAATTTGTTTAACCTTTCCGTCTTGTTTCTTGTCGCAGCAGAATTGATATTAAACGACGCAAGCTACACATATTTCAAACGCAAGCAAAACAAATGTGTAATTGTTTTTTTTTTTTCATTTTATTTTTAAGGCTGCTATTGGGGAAAGTGCATCGTCTTCCAGCGAGGTTGGAAGAAGTGTGTGCCCAATGAGGTGTGTGGAGATGACGAGAAGAACTGCGAGAAAAAATGCATACTCGAGCACACAGGCAAGTAAAAATAAAGATATTTATAATATAAACCTTTACAATAAAAAAATCGCTTTTGACAAAACGCCGATTCTCAAAGAATGTGTGAACATTTCACGCAGCTAGGGAATATAAGAAAGCGGGATGAATGCAGTCTCTCAGCACCTTTACGCGGGGTGGACATGCTCGAAACCTTTCTTCTCGCTGGTGCAAGCAGATCAGGCCACTTAACGTGCGTACAAAGGACATGCTAGCGATGCGCAGAAAACGACACAGACATTTCGCTGTTGTGCATGCATACATATGGTGCATATAGGGGCGACGACACTGCTCGCTTATGGCCCGCTGACATGGTAAGACGTCTGCACGTCAAGAGCGGTGTAGCAGGCCGAGGAACGGAACAGCAGCCCGTGCGCGTCAACATGTCTCCAAAGCCGGCGGCAGGAGCTTCCGGAAGCATCGGAAGCGTGCATTTGCCCGCTGGCTGCGTGACGTAACACCTAACAACCGAGGTACAGTAGAGGACAGCGGGATTAGAGCGTACTTGGCCCGCCGGCTGGGCGCCTCGAGGAAAAGTACGGGTGGCTCAAGGTGCGTTAATATTGTCGCGG